ATATATATATATATATATATTCTTCAAATCTTCTTTTTTTTATTAAAAAAACCCAATTAAGAAAAATTGATAGGACCTTCTTGTCGACAGAATTTGCATGCAATAAACGAAAACGAAAACGAAAACGGAGAAAGCGATTTAAATTTAAATTGCAAATTCAAGTTCTCAATGGATTGTGCCAGGGCAAAATTGTGCTTCTCCACCTTCCTCAATTGCTCCTGGCAATTGGCGAAGGCGTTCAATACCTCCAGCTTGATGACAGGATTCCTGCTGGAATTCCCAGAATGTTCTCGCGGTGGCAACGGGGGATGACTGCTGGCTATCGTCCTGGTGTACATCTCTGTAATCGCCCGTCCACCCATTCCTGGCGTGCTCGCGCGTCTGTGGCCCGCAGTTTGATCATGTCATCTGAAAAGGATATCGAAAACTCAACATTTATGTCGTATCAAACATCACACATAACCATTAGAGAGAAATCAGCTATGAGATTTGGTTTAATCCAGGTCAGATATCTACCAGTAGCAGAATTCACGGTGAACGTGTTCGAATCTTCGTCACTGGAGGCTATTACGACGCCTGCCAAATATATCAAACACCGCGGCCTCTGATTCTTCTCGGACTCACTGAGGAAGTAATGCAGCTCGCCAGTCTCCGGGCTCAGGATGAACCTACGGTATTGCCAGCCCTTCATGGCGTTTGTATACTTGTGCAGCAAACCCTCGGAAGAGTGCCTCGTTTGCACATTCATTATTTGTTGTCACTCTTGCTTCTTGGAACTCTCTCTTACTATGGCGAACGGCAGAAATCTCGCGCGAGATATGTCGAAGTTGAGGGCGATATCGTGCTCAGCTGATATCAACAGAAAGGGAAAAATATTTCCAAGAAAAATATGCTGTAGTTAATTTTTTTTATTAAGAAAATACAAAAGTTTCTTAAACCTAAATATTCGTAGCAAAAAAGAATATAAGGTAACGTTTTCGCAAATATAATATTATAATTAACGGAAATAAAATTGTTAATTAAGAACAAATGTTAATTAAGAAAACTAACGCAACATTACAATATTTGGGATAGAAATATTATATTACATTTTAAGAAAATCAATATTTTCTTAAATTATTGTGCTATCGCAGCTGCGACGCATGAACACGTGTTAGACAAAAACAAACTCCAACTCGGTCAAAAAAAAGTCTTAATTTCTAAACAAATTTCTTAAAATACTTTGACGCGAGAGATTTTATTTAAAAGCGCGGCATATTCATGAATTTTGTATGCATTTGTTTCTGCGCATTAGAAATAAATGCATCGCATTGTGCGCGTAGGGAAAATGTTGCTGTAAGTCAGAATTACATAAGAACATACATATTTCTACTCATTGAATACTTTTGAGGCTCGAGAGTGCGTGAGTAGATAGAAAAATTAAATATAATTTTCGAAATTTGTGTATATTAAGAAATGATTATCAATAATGTTCAGAAAAATATATGCCACAAACTGCATATTCATGAATTTTGTATGCATTTGTTTCTGCGCATTAGAAATAAATGCATTGCATTATGCGCGTAGGGAAAATGTTGCTGTAAGTTAGAATTACATAAGAACATACGTATTTCTACTCATTGAATACTTTTGAGGATAGAGAGTGCGTGAGTAGACAGAAAAA